GGGGCGGGGAGGGCGGTGCTGGGGGAGGGGACTCCTCGGAGTGAGGCCTTACGAAGCTTGCATCTCAGGAATAACCCCCAACTTTGAAACACCCAACACATTTCCTGGGCCCAAGAGTAAGATCAAGGCCACAGGCAGAAACCCACCACCAGCCACTTGTTCTGCTGCAGCTGGGAGGCTGCTACAGACCAGGATGGTCTGTTCTCTCTATCGTGGGTTCCGCATCCAGGATCGAAAATATTTGAAAAAAATAAGGTTGTGTCTTTACCGATGTGTACCAGGTAATTAGGGCCACCGTGGTTGGATCTGTCATTATTCCCTAAACAATACAGTGTAGCAACTATTTATACAGGATTTACATCGTAGTAGATATTATGAAGGATCCAGAGATGATGAAAACTCAACGGGAGGAGACACTTCTGGTCACGATGGCGGAGCAGGTGACCGCAGCGCTGCCTCCCCCCACAACCACCTCAGCATCACAGCTAAAGAACAGAACGGCCGTCACTGAGAGCCGCCTGCAGTCTGGCTGAACAGAAGTCCTACAACTAAGGACATACAGAGGCCACCTGAGACTGGAAGGAGGGGTGGTGACGTGGACCGGGCTGGTCCCATACCCGCGTGTGTTGGTTAAAGGCAGAAGTCCCCCGGGAGAAACGAGGGGTCCCAGCCCCACACCAGACTTCCCAGCGCAGGGTTCCCGTGCCAGGGAGAGAAGTCCCCACAACCTCTGGTGGTGCCGCGCAGCGTCTGCACCACGGGGATGCTCTGTGGGGGAGGGGGGTCGAGCACTCGGCCCCAGAAGCTCTCAGTCCCACGGGAAAACCAGCAGGGAGGGTGGCTGCGTGAAACGGGGTGGCAGGAGTCCCAGGCGTCCTCTTAAAGAACCCACGTGGACTCACCACGGATGGACTCGCTCGCTCTGAGCTCCAGTGCTAGGGACGCAGCTCGAAAGATGCCAGGGACACACAGGGAGGGATTGAGTTGTTTGCTTCAGAGAGGGTGGCATCTCCAGGACAGAAGCGCTGGCAGAGGCCACTGCCCCTTTGTTGAGCCCTCCTCTGCCTCCCAGTGTGCAGACGCAGGTGGTACGATTCTGAGCGTCCATCAACCTGGCTGATGCCACTCGCCCCGCCCATGTGATTCCCTGAAGCCCCGCCCTTCCCCATGAGCAGCCCCCAACCCCGAGCCGCCTCCAGTGGCTTTTCCATAGAAACGGCCTCTCTTGGCTCATGCTGTGGACTTTCCTAAAATCTCACAAAGGTCCACAAACCCCAAATAAGCAGCGTCTGGCCTCCGTGTGCCCCGTACCTCTTGCTGAGCAGCCCTCGGCCCAGCACTAGCAACAGCTGGCCTTGGTTCCCAGTTTGGCCTCTAGAGGCACCTCTAAGCCCAACGTGGGTGGCAGCCATCTGCGGACTGCTTGGTGGCTCATGCCAGGTGGCCCCGGGCAAAGCACAGCCTGTGGCTGAACTTGGCCTGCGGCGGGGCCCCTCCCAGGAGGCCCCGGGGCCTGTACGGCCGGTGGCCAGCTTTGACCGAGCCAGAGCAACGCCCAGGGCCGAATCGAAGGAAGACACACCCAAAGGGCAGACTGGGCAGCACCAGAGCCCAACCGAAGTGAATCCTGCTCCATGGGGTCAGCCCCGCACGACAGCTCACAGTCACGGCCAGTCCTCACGACCATCAGCCTGAGGATCAGCCCGACCCACGGACGTGCAAACAGTAGCCAAGGCTCAACTACAACAGGAGGGCACACGCAGCCCATGCAGAAGGCACACACCCAGCTCAGGTGACCAAGGAGACTGTGTCACTGGGCCACACAGAACACCTACTACATAAGGCCACTGTACTGAGGCCAGGGGACATAACAACCCTACCTAATACATAGAAACAAACGCAGGGAGGCAGCCGAAATACGGAGACAAAGACACATGTCCCAAATGAAAGAACAGAACAAAGCCTCAGAACACACACTAAACAAAATGGAGACAAGCAACCTGCCAGATGCAGAGTCCAAACCCTGGTTATAAGGATGCTCCGTGATCTCAGTGAGAACTATGACAGAGAGACAGGAAACGTAAAAATGGAGACAGGAAACGAAAAAGAACCGGTCAGAAAGGAAGAATAAAATTACTGAAATGAAAAATGCATTAGAGGGAATCAACAGTAGATTAGATGAAGCAGAGGATCGAATCGGCGATTTGAAATACAAAGTAGCAGAAAACACCCAATTAGAGCAGCAACAATGAAAAAATGAGGACCGTTTAAGGGGCCTCTGGGACAACATCGAGTGTACCAACATTCGCGTCACAGGGGGACCAGATGGAGAAGAGAGAGCAAGGAATCGAAAACCTTTGAAGAAATAATGACAGAGAACTCCCCTAACCTGGAGAAGGAAACAGACCTACAAGCCCAGGAAGCACAGAGACCCCCAAACGAGATGAACCCACAGAGGTCCGCACCGAGACACGGCCTCACGGAAACGCCGGAGGTTAAAGACAAAGAGAGAATCTTAAAAGCAGCAAGACAAAGGCACTTAGTTCCCTACGAGGGAGTCCGCATAAGACCGTCGGCCGATTTCTCAACAGGAACTTTGCAGCCGGAAGGGACCGGCAGGAAATATTCAAAGTGATGAAAAGCCAGGACCTGCACCCGAGATGACTCTACCCAGCGAAGCTAACATTTAAAATTGAAAAAGAAATAAAGAGCTTCCCAGATAAGAAGCGGCTAAGGGAGTTCATCACCAACAAACCGGTATCATAAGAAACGTTAAAGGGACTTCTTTAAAAGGAAGAAAAAAAGAGATAAAAAATACGGATAAGAAAATGGCAATAACTACGTATCTATCGGCGATTAAATGAATGAAATGCTCCAATCAAAAGACGTCGGGTAGACAGACGGATAAGGAAACAAGACGCTTACATGTGTCCCCTGCAAGACACTCACTTCGGACCGAAAGACACACATGGACTGAAGGTAAAGGGTGGGAAAAAGATACTTCATGAAAATGAAAACGACAGCTGATACAGCACCGCTCACGCCACTGGAGGAGCGGCAGACGCGGCCACACCCCTGTGCCCCGCAAACACGGCTCCGTCCCCACCCCCAGGCCCTCGCGTCCTTGGGAATAACTGAGCGTGCGGCTAAGCAGGTCGAGTTGGGACAGCAGCTTGGCTGATATTCCAGAAAGAGCCTGAAACTGCTAACTGTGAAGATGATTCTTCTTCAGAAGCAGAGCTGAGTCTCCCGTCCTCGGAAGGCCCTCCCCCGTCCAAGCGCGGGGACAATGTCACCCTGTGAGTTACGGCAGATCCCCTCGACCCGGGCTGTCCAGACACGGCGCTTGCACTTAAAATCAAAATAAAATCAAAACAACCTTTCGCCAGAATGGCACCACTCCACCATCTTAAAACTATTTCTGGCCGGAGAAGAAGGCTTCATTCAGGAGCCGCCCCGACGGGGAGACCAGCGGGGGGGCCGAGCTGTGGCCTGGACGCGGCCGCCTCGGCAGACGCAGCCCTGTGGGAGCCCGGCCCGCCTCACCCCGACTTCGATTCCCCGTGTGCCAGGCGTTTCTTTCCCACTGTCCTCTGCATGTTGACAGTCTAGGGCTCCCTGGTGAGAACGATGCTTTAAAACCTCAAGACTGACACTTGTCAGCGGGCTGTCCAGCCCTCAGGCCCTTGTCACCTGCGGTCAGCCCTCACAGCTAGCAGCTGAAAACGTAGTTTTTCAAAACATCCTCCCATGGCTGTTCACCCAAGAAATGCTTTCTGAATTCCTACGGATGCCAGGCGTCAGCCGGAAACACTTTTCTCAATATTTTTTAGCAAAAGAGCACATTACGAGGTAAACGCTTTCAAGGAAGAGGCCACCCCAGAGGGAGTGGTCTAGGCTGATAAAAAGTCCCAGTGCCGGAACCCTCGAAGGTTATCGGAGTCCAGACGACAGTGATACAGAGCCGCTCTGCACTTTGGGTCACACCCCCGCCTTCCTGCAGCAGAGAAGGGACAGAGCCTGCCACCCATCCATGGCTGATGCGGTCACGCCCTGGGCTCGCAGGGCAGGGAGGCCTGGGCTGGGGCTACGGCTGCCACTTCTAACGGATGCTGGCAGAGACGACATTGTCACTGCTCATTAACCCCACAGGGCAGGGCAGGTCGCCGATCAGTCGGCCTTGCTGAACATCACGGATAAGGACCTGCATTCCGAGGTGTCCGACATGGAGCAGTGGAAAGGACAGAGAGCAGGGGCCTCAACGGCCATGGGCTAAGGGCGACCAAACACTCGCGTCCACAGCACGGGCTGGCAGGGGCCCCGCGGGGCCCCGGGGGGATGGCACGCAGACGCGTGAAGCGGTCCACGTTTTTGAGCCATCAATTATCTATTATATTTCAATGAAGCTGTTTAAAAAAAAAAATGCAAAAAAAAGAGAGACTTTTCCAGCTTCACACGCAGAGAGGAAACGCGGGCATTCGCGGGGTGCGGGTGCAGACACCGCCCCGGGCGCCCCGCCAGCGCCAGGTCCCCGCCGCCGGCCTCACCTGGTCCTCTTGTCGGCCACGGCGACGCACACGTGCTGCGCGGGCACTGCTGTCCACTTCTGCGCCTCCACGACCAGGGCCTCCGCGTCCACCAAGCCGAACCCATAGAGATGGCTCACTGGAAAGACAGGCCCTTCAGACCGCGCCCCCAACCCAACCCCAGGCACGGGGCGAGCCCCCGATCTGGCACTCTCCGGGCCCCCGCAGGCGACACCGATCCGTGGTCCTGGCGGGGACAGGCCATCTGTGTCACATGAGAGCTGGAAGGGCGCGGGCCATCCCCTGAGAGCCACGGGCTGCAGGCCCAGCCCCCCCAAGGACCGCGCCCCGGTCCCAGCCCTCTCCCCTCCCCGAACCGCACGCCTGCGGGTCAGGGCTGCGGGTGGAGACAAGGCCCGTCCTGGTGCAGGGCGCAAGGCCTGGAATGTCGCACCGTGAGCTGCGGGCGGCTGTCCTTCCATTAAACCAACAGCTCGGTGTCTGCGCTCCCTGAATCTTAAACCAGAGATAGAGAAATGAGGCCCCTCGGGGCCGCCTCCCCTGTCCCCTCCCGCCCGCTGAATCCAGGGCGCGAGCACGTGCGGCGGGCGCGCTCCGATGCTGACTGTGGCCCAAGCAGGACAGCTTCGAAGTTTAATTTAAGAGGCGAGGTCGAGAAGGAGATGCAATCTGTTTTCCGATTCAATGAGGCCCAAACCGAATCATGTGGTTACAGCACATGATTCGCACCAACATCCCCGAGAAGCCAAGGTGAACGGGTCTGATCAATGACCCCCTTATTAAGAGGAATGTCACTTGGAACTCTGGGTCACGATGCTCGACCTGCATTTTACAGAGTAGTATCAGGCTCGGGGTTGAAATAGTTGGACTTGAGCTCCAAAAAGGAAGAAAACATTCTCCCTGACATACCGTGGCCTGATGTAAATCTCTTCCAAGGATCCCCGGTAAAAAGCCAGACGGACAAGAGCCCATGGCACCGTCCTGTAACTACGTGCTCGAAAGAGCCCAAATATCCGGGTTACGAGCCGACGGTGGGCTGATTTCACAGGACCTGGGTCCATACCAGGCTGTGCTGGCCATAGGGACCTCGCTGTTCGATGACTTACTTTTATGATACTGGTCTTGAGGACGGGAGTTGCACAGTTAGAAAGTAACTTACATAATTATGTCAGTGTTATGTAAGTTACTTTCTTACAGATGAAAAACTTGGGACTCGTTTCAAAATGACAGAGCTGCTCAGCGCTAAGGATGCAAGCTACTCTTAGGGGACACATAAACAAACATTTTTTATCGTAATATTTATGGATTTGTTTTAATGTTCGTTAGAAAAAATATAACTACACATCGAACTCCTGATTAGACATAATAAAGTTTCCCTTTAAAATATATTTCTTTATGTGAAAAGAAAGCAAGTCAATTTAAAGAAAACTATTACGTCAATATTGGTAAGACTGGTCTGGGGATGTGGCAGAGTCGTGCAGTTTTGGGCGCCCCGGGGTCTGGGGGCCTCGGGCTTCATCCTTAGCGCCAGCGTGAGGTGCCAGGACACTTTCCTTAAATCGCTGGACACGTATCTTTCATTCTTCTAACACACACTGTTATTTGGGGATCCTTTTGAGAAATTCATGTCACCCCTCGATCCAGACCTCAGGAAGGAAGTCTGGAGGACCCACCAGGAACGGAACGGTCCTCCCCAGCCCACCAGAGCCCGCACCTTTGTGGCCGGCACCATTGACCGTCCAGTCGTTGGCTTTCAGGTGGGCCGGCCTGGATGTCTTCACCAGCAGGTGCTGGACGTCCCTCCAGGTTAACTGGCTGCTGCAAGACACGACGACAGACTGCTGTAGCCCGCACAGGTCGCTAACGGGGGCTGCACGGGGACACGCCAAGGTGGCACATCGCGGGGGGCCAGCCCCGAGCCGGGGTGAAGGTTTACACCTCTTGGTAAAGAATAGTTGCCGGCGATTAAACCCCGAGGCGGAACAGTTCAACGGGGCCCTAAAGTCCACGGCATGGAAAACCCAGCCCTGCTGCCGAGCTCGCTTGAGTGTGTACAAGGGTGACACAGGACACCGTGGCCATGGAGGGAGGGGGACCCTGCCCATGACGGCACACGTCCGTGAGTGTTTGGGGCCAATCTTTGGCACGATGAGCCGATACCAGAGGGCGGCAGCGCCGCAGCCGTCACCTGCCCGGTCCCCGCTGGCACGGCCCCGCTGGCTAGAGTGCGACGTGAGAATGTGGTGATCCCACCCTGACGACACACTCATTTTGGTGCAAAGCAGAAAGTTCCACGAAAAGAACACGTGTGCTAACACGAATGCGCAGGTCAGGGCTGTCTGGCTCTGACGTGGCCTCTTTGACACGTCGAACACCAGCTGGAGGCTGTGCAGGGCCCCCAGGCCCAAACGCTGGACGTGCCCTCCTCTGGCGCAGTGCCTGTCCCCATCCAGCCAGGACAACCGCCCTCGCAATCGCCTACTGTTTGACTATGCTTGAAAACATACATAAGTTAAAATGCACCCTCGACGGGCCAGCCAAGGGCACGCAGCAGAACGGCAGGAGATGAGATGCCAGGACTCTAAGAATAATTTAAGGAGCATATGGGACGCTATTAAGGGTCCAAATATCCGTCTGATCGGCGTAAGTGAAGAAAATCAAGATGCCGAACAGCTGTTTGAAAAAATAATGATGGAAAACTTCCCCAGCCTGGTGAAGGCAATGGACATAAAACCCCAGGAAGCTCAGAGAATCCCCAAAATCAGGGATCCAAAGAGGCCCACGCCAAGATACAGCATAATGAAAATGCCAAAGGTTAAATACAGAGAAAGAATCTTAAAAGCAGCAAGAGAAAAACAGATAGTGACTTATAAGGGAAAACCCACAAGACTGGCAGCCGATTTCTCAAGAGAAACTATGCAGGTCAGAAGGGCTCAGCACGAAATATTCGACAGGATGAAGACCCAGGATCTACAGCCAAGGATACTCTATCCAGCAAAGCCATCATTTTGAGTTGAAGGACAGATAAAGAGCTTCCCAGACAAAAATAAACTCAAGGAATTTATCACCACGAAGCCAGTATCACAGGACATGTTGGAGGTAGTTCTTTAAGAAGAAAAATATAAAAGACTCTCTTCAGATTAAAACACACACGCAGGAGATGGAAAAAGATGTTGCTTTGATGGACCTAGAAGGTGTTTAAGTCAGACATTTAAAGGTAAACACTATATGATTTCACTTACATGCGGAATCTAAGGAATATAAAGAAGAAACTCATCAAAAACAGACTCACAAATATAGCGGACGATTTGGTGACGGACAGAGGGGAGGGGGGTTGGGGTGCTGGGAGAATGGGGTGACGGGTTAAAGAAGTACAAGTGAGTAGCTAATGGTCACCGGGTTGGGGAGCCCGGCAGAGGGAACGCAGTCAGCGTTAATACGTCGGCACGGGGGAGGGCCGCGAGGGGAGGGAGCAATTGGGGGGACCATTTTACGAACTCTATAGATGTCTGACCGATGTCCTGTATACTTGAAACTGATTAAAATAAATATATTTTTTAAAAAAGTAAAAACGAAAATGTACCCTCTGAACTGTTTTCAAAAGTAAGCTCCAGTGGCGTTAAGTGCACTCACTGTCACATGCCCGTCACCACCATCCATCGACAGAACCTGTCACCTCCCCCCACAGGAACTCTGCCCCCACTGAACACGCGCTCCCGCCCCTCCCCCGCGCCTGGCGCCCACCGTCCTGTCTCCTTCCAGGAACGTGACCACTCTGAGTGACACCACGCAGTGACTGGCTTCTGTCACCATAATGTCCTCAAGGTTCGTCCATGTCGACACTCGGGTCAGAATTTCCTAACCTTTTAAGCTGGATGCCATCCCGACGCGTGGACATGCCACGCTGCGCTAAGCCTTCCCCTGCCCGGGGATGTCTGCGACATCCCACCCCGTAGCTACTGAGACTAACGTCGCCAGGAACACGGGCGCGCGAGCACCTCTTCAAGTGCCTGCTTTCCATTTTGGGGGCTTCACACCCAGAAGCGGGACTGCAGGTCATATGGCAATTCCATGATTAATTTCTGAGGACCCGCCGCGCTGTTTTTCCCAGTGGCTGTCATTTCGCGTTCCCACCGTTCGTCCCCTCTTTGCCTGTCTTCTCGAAGGAGCTCACCTGTGGCATGAGTCTTGGGGTACGCGGGCACGCCTGCATCGGGGCCCCGGGCTCCCCTGATTTCTCCGACATGTTCTTGCCACTGTGACGGTCACCGGCCCGTCACTGGCCTCCTGGCTGCCCCGTCCCGACCGTGCCCGTCGGCCACTCTCCGGGCCTTCGCGGGGCGCAGGCTGTGACCCGCTTTCCCCATTGTCACTGGTCCCCCGGGTGCCCACAGCCACCTTCATCATTAGAGGGGGATTCTGAGTCCAGCGGCCCCGGCCCTGGACTTCTTCAGACAGGGCGGACGTGGTCATGTCCCTTGACACCTGTGCGACCGAGCGCGTTAGTGCCCACGTCGGCAGGGCCTACCCGAGGTGCCACGCGAGGGGCCAGGAGGCCTGAGCTCCGTCCGGGGTTCGTGACAGAACCGGTCCGGGAGGGGAAACGCTAGAGATCATCTCGCGATGGGGAAATCCTTTTGATGTCTGACTCTGCTAATAAAATCACAAATTTACTTTGTATGGGAAACACGACTAGGAAATGGTGTCGAAGATGTTTTTCAGTGAAGAAGGGATTGGCGGGTGGTCCCAAGTTGTCCCCAAACCACGGAGCTTACACGGGAGGGTTCCCCTCATTCTGAGTGCTGCCTGCAGGCCCCGTCCACCCCGCTTCCGTCCACAGAGAGGCGACAGAGCCACAGGCACCGCTGCCCAGACACGTGCCACCCCAGCCTCTGAGGCTCAGCTCAGGCCCGAGGGGCTCTGGTTATGGCTCGCTCCGTCCCCGACCGATCCTGGATGTTAAAGGCTCTAAGGTGGCATTGTTTCCACGACGTCCGCGGGATTCGCCACCCGTAAACTTCTGAGGACGAGCTCAAGTGACGAGAAAAATGACTATTGGAGTTTTCCTGTGTCCGCAGGCCGAGTTTAATGGGACAATCTGGCACAAAAACGGGGTTTGTTTTCTGTTTAGTTTCGACTAACAAAATCCCTCGCATGTTTCCAATAAGGAATGGAAGAAAATATAAGACAATGAATTGCTCAATATGCAAATGCAACTTTCCACACAAGTAACTAATTATTTAGCGTTTCATAAAGGAGCCTCAGGACGCGGGAGCTGGCATTTTGGCCTGAAAATTGAAAACAGCTTTTCCCTGGTTAAATTGGTAGCACCTGAGTTTCATGCTCTTTCGCCTTGTGCAAATCAACACGTAAACAAACAGACTTCCAAGGATTTACGCAACCCAAACATGATTTTTGAATCATTTAAGCATCTCATCTACAACAAATGACTACTTCGAATGGCTGGGTCGTTCGGAGCCGGTTTTGACGTGTAAACTAAAATTTGCTTTTGACAGCGGGATGGCATCTGTTGCAAACTCTTCAAACTTTCTTCCTGACCCATCCACAGACTAATAACTCTAGAGCTTCGATTCGGCTCAAGACGGATAAAACATCGCCGCTGTCCCGCGACTCAGGAACCAGAGTTTGGAAGGGCAGCTGCGGCGGCGTCAAGTGAGCTTCTGCTGTGTGACGCGGGGAGGGAGGCCGGCTCGGGGCTCGGCCCTCCTGGCTCCCCGGGGTCCCACAGGGGACTGGGAGCTTCAGAAAGGAAAAGGGAAGGGACCACTTCATGCCCATTAACGATGCTTAAGAAAGAACGAAATCCTGGCACATGCCACGGCACGGGTGGACCCTGAGGACACGATGACACATGAAAGAAGCCAGCCGCAGAAGGACAGGCGCTCTCCGGCTCCCCCTCTGTGAGGTGCCCCAAGCAGTCAGAGCCCCGGAGACAGAAGACAGGATGGTGGTTTCGGGGGCCGGCGGGGAGGGGCTGGGAAGTGAGGGGCTGAAGCTGCCCCCCCAACTCATGCGGAAGCGCCCGGCGCCCGGCACCCAGAATGCGGCTGGGTTTTAGATGGCTTTAAGGAGGGGACTCAGCGGGGCCGTTAGGTGGCCTGATCCACTGTGACCGGTCCCTACACAGGATGCAGACACACACGCACAGATCATCTTACCATGGGGACAGGTGGCCATTTATAGCCCTGGGAGCGAGCAAAGGCTGGGGGAACCGGCCCCGTCCAGGCCTGGTCTTAAGCTCGGCCACCGAACTGCGGGAACCGACGTCTGTGGTTTGAGCCCCGCAGGGGAGGCCTCGGTCACGCCGCCCCGGCCACCTAACGCGGGGGACGCTCCGAGGGGACAGGGCTTCAGTTGGGGTGACGAGCACGTGCTGGGGGATGGAGGGGGTGGCTGCTCAGCGGCGTGAACGCACTAGCGGACGGTACACCTAAGAACGGTTGAAACGGTGAAGTTTCCGCTATGCGGATTTACCGCAGTCGAAACTCAAAGAGACAAACGGAGCCGGGCGCCACGGTGGGACTTACTTCGCTTCCAAGGCCAGGGCGATGATCCCCGCCACCATGGGGGCCGACACCGAGGTGCCCGTGTGGCCGTCCGTGCAGCGCTGGTGCAGATCCGTGGTGACCTGGCGAGGGGCGGCAGAGGCGAAGTCAGCTCCCGGGACGAGCCGGGTCCCCTCGCGATCCTGGGCCCGGGTCCCCTCGCGGTCCTGGCCCCGGCCGGGGTCCCGCCAAGCTGCTCCCACGTGGACGGACCCAGGACGAGGACACGCTGCGATGCGAAGGGGGGACAAAGGACGAAGGGAGGCCCCCGGCGAGACCGCCCGCCGGAGCCCACGGTGACAGCTCGAGCCACGCCTGACTCGGGAGCAGCTGGAACGCAGGGAGGCGCCGGGTGACCCGGGCGGCGTTTCTGCCTGTGGCCGGAGGGCTCGGGTCCCTGCACACCGGGACGGCCGCCCCGGAGGGCTCTGGACCCCACGGGGCCCGCTGCCGGGGCCGCTCGCTCCGGGCAGGTGCAGCCGACTGACAAGTGAGGGGCCGGCCCCGGGCCGGGGTGCCGATCCCAGACGTCGCTGCCGCCCGGCCTGACGTGTGCCTGGCCTTCCACCCGAAACGGAGAGGCAGCCGCCATCCGGGCAGCGCGTGGGGGCTCAGCTGTGCGACACCTACTGCGCTCGATGGGTTTTGTCACCCAGCGTCACGCCCATGCATTTTGCAGGTGGAGTTAAGGCTGCTAGCCAGCCTTAAATCAGAGAGGGTGCCCCGGATTATCAATGGAATCACGGGGAGAGGCAGGAGGGGTGACGGGACCCATCGCTGCCGGCTCCGGAGAGGGAGTTGGGGACACAAGCCAAGGAACGTCGGTGGCCTGGAGCAGCAGAGAGCGATGTGGCAAACGGCCCACAAGGAAACGGGGCTCAGTCCCGAAAGCACAGGAGCTGAACTGTGCCAACGACCTGAACGAGCAAGAAACACATTCCCCCCAAGGGCAACCGCCACCTGGCTTCGGGACCGAGCGACTCGGAGCAGGGACGCGGCTGAGGCTGCCACGCGTCCACCCACAGAGCCGTGCGGGACGGTAAATCCGTGCTCTTTCAAGCTGCTAAATTTGGGACAACGTGTCAGGAAAGTGCTACGCTGCCAAGTGCAAGGCGCCGGAGGCCACCTGTGTCGCCCGAGGACACGGTTCCCAGCGTTGACGGTCCAGACCGCCTTCCAGAAAAAGCATCTTCTTCATCCGTTTCAGCCGGACCGACAATCACCCAGAGACAGGGGACCCGGCCTGTGTCACCCACACACCCGGCCTCCCCCTCCCTCCCCATTTAGCAGGACTGAGGGACTCCGAGGTTGGGGAGGGCAGCTGAGGGCGAGGGAGCAGGGACGAGGAGGCGACCCCTCTGACCCCGGGCGCCTCATCTGCAAGTGGGCATGACGATGTGTCCTTCTATGAAAGTCACAGCTGGCGCCGGCACAGGCTGGCACTCACCGAATGGCCAGCGAGGGGCACTGAGGGCGCGTGGCCGGCTCTCAGCCTCACGGCAAGAGCCACGCAGGCGGGAACGGGGCCTCCCTGGAGGGAGCCACTCTCCTGGGACTGCACGTCACACAGGGGACATAGCTCCCATCCCGTGAATGAACGAGAGAGCCAACGCGAGTGGGTGAGGGGCGCGCCTAGCTGTCCCCCCTTTTATGCGTCATGTGCCAGCACCAGGAAGGACGCCCTCCCCGCGAGCGCTGCGTGGCCTTCGCCTGACCGAGAGGAACAGAGAGAGTGGAGGGGACAGAGCCTAGACTCCCACCGGACACCTGCCTCACGCCCAGGCACCCGGGAGGGTCACCCACGCCCTTGCAGGGTCTCTAAGGGGACTCGGCGCAAAGCCTTGGTCCTGGGTGAGCTGAAACAAAAAGCCACCGGCTTGGCCAGAGGACGCCGTGGGACTGGGCGCAGCTGCCCTTCTCACCCACGCGTATCTCCCGGAGGGTCTGAGACTGGAAGGCGTTGGGGCACTTTGTGGCCGAGGCGTGCACGCGTGTGCACACACGGCGCACACGGCAGTCTGGCTCATCACGCAAACAGAGCTGCCAGCCCGGGGCCGGGAAACGTCCCCCAGGG